CACAAAAGGCCACATCTTATTTTTTGCATATAGTGTTAATATTTCTGTATTATCATATTATCATTTATATTGATGAGCTTAAGAAAGTTCCTCAACTGACCCAACAAATTACCATGTGTTGCTTACCAACATAGCCAGTATGAGTGTCGTCTAATCTGATGGCCAGTTTTTTTTGTCATTATATTAGAAAAATTATCTTGAGTCTTTTCTTTTCTTTTCTTTTTAAATTTTGCTGTAAATTTGCTGCTGTGCTTGGGATCATTGTCCTGTTGTATGACCCAATTTCCTAAGAGAGAAGAGTTCAATTTCCTAAGGCAGACAGACCTTCGTAATTTGTCTACACACATAGTTTGAGATGTTCGAAATTTGTTCACAAAGTATGAACAAAGTCAAACATGACAATATGGATGAATCACTCGTTTGTGCAGTGAATGTTCATATGCACAGTTTATGTGCAGCTTTGTAAAGAAGAGGTCTATTGTTCCAGAAGTCTTTGTTCAGACACAATTTCCCTTCTGAACTTTTTAAGACAGAAAAGACTTCCTCCTCGTAACCTTTCCAAACAAGCCATACTTCATACTTAAACACTCTTTATCTAATTGTACTGTCATGAAATTTACCATTTAACATCCAAACTGAGGCCTGTAGATTCTGAAACGTAGCTCTTGCAGTTTCACAGTTCTGATCTCCTTGGAAGACGGGCAGCTGTCCTGAATATTGCCCACTTGTGAATAATCTTTCCCACTGCAGAGTTTCTTCAAATTGTTTGGAAATGGCCTTTCCTGGAGCAATCTCTTCTCAGAGATCATTGTTGATGTATTTCCTTCTTGGCATTGTGTCAACACACACCTGAATCCCCCAGACCAGTAAACTGACAAAACCTCTGCTTTCACGGAGGTGCTCACACTTGCTGATGATCAGTTCATCAAGAGCATTTGATTTTCAGCACCTGGCTGCTACCTACCCTCTTAATTCTTATAGAAACATTTCAGACATTGCGTCGACATTTTGTTCGCTTTTGTTAAATAAATACAAATATCACGTGTTGATCACTTGGAGTTATATCTGTCTTATTTTAAATCCTGCTGAGGATCAGATCAGCATTGTTTATTATATCCTGATATGTGAAACCTGAGTATAATAATTCACGAGTGTTTTTTGATCTGTAACCTCTGTGTGAGGTCTGATTAACTGATTAACTACTGCTCTTATTGGTTATAGGTATTGGTCAATCACATCTGATTCACTGTTCACACTGAATGCAAATAACAGTACTCGTTGACTCTATAGATGCTTTAAATAGTATCCACTCAAATGTTACACTTTGGCTTCATAATTGTATCCTGAGATGTCCTGTGTTTGTTATATTTTAGTTTTAAGTTGATAAGTTTTTTAAAAAAAAGGCATAAGGGAAATCATTTGTGCTAAAGTTTTTTTTTCTTTTTACAAAGATGATTTACAGATGATGAAAGCAAAAAGTTGTTTCATGCGCCCTGCAGTTCCTTTTAGTTAGAAACCTAGCATTAAAATCACAGCTCACTGGCCAGATGATTTGTGTGAATAAGCGACAGCCGCCAGGGACGCAAAAGGAGACAGCGCTCCTTCTGCCGTCACAGGGGAAAATTAGCCATGGGATATTTAATTAAGTTGACAAAGGCTGTAAAGATATTCTATCTGGACAAGAATATCTCTCGTTTCTTTCCCACCTGTCTAACTATATGCTGTTAAATATCAATACCATACTGGACCGTTGCCATTAATCTACAGCTCTATTTCCAACTGTCATGATGCTGAGCGAAAAGGAGAGAAGCAAATGTTCTTGTTTCACTGACTGCCTTCTTATATCAACATCATGTTGTCCTTTGTCAGAATCATCTATTATTTTTGAGGCTCGTTATAAAGCTTGTACTTATCAACAATTTGACAAAAGGCTGTAACATTTGGGCCGTCACATGGACTCAAAATATAAATATTAATTCCACTGCTTTGGGGATCGCTGTTTAGCATATGAAACAGTTCTCTGTTGGGGCAGTCAATTTGTCAGTCAGCTTCTTTCAAAAGCCACTCAGCCTTTGATTGCAATCATTCAACACTTACTCTTCATTTCCTCAATTTGCCTGTGATCTCTGGCATTTCATTTATTTAATCAGAGCCAAGACTGAAGCTATTAGCCACCTATTCTGCAGCGCTGACAAAGTGGGAACAGAGTGAAACTACAAGTAAAGCTGAAAAAATGTCCAGGGACCTTAAAAATACACAAGACAAGACAGTAAAAATGGAAAAATGTGTGTGTTCAAGTAAGCAATGTGGCAAAATATGACCTATAACCTTTCCAAATCAAAACTACACAAGCAACAGTTTGACTCTAATGTAAGCACAGCGGCATAAAACAGGTGTGAACGGGTGTGCCTAATAAAATGAACAAGTTTATCATATAACAAGCAGGTTTAAGGCATAAATAAATTATAAATATAAAGTAAATAGAGAGTACTTTGTTTGCAAAGGAAAACTTCAGAACAAAACCATGATAGCTTCTTGTGGCTTAAGTATAATGGGCGTTATTACACTCAAAAAGCAACACAAATACAGACAATGTTATTAAATGATATCAACTGCAAGGCATCAGCTCCAAATCCCAACCAGTCTGTGAGCGTATACAGGCTTCAGGCGTACATGTCTGGGTGTGCTTGTATGCAAGAACAAAGGGAGAGAGAAATGAGCAGCCACAGACCGTCAGAAGTGGGAATGAAACAGTGCAGGTGTAAGTGGACGGGGTTTTAGAGCTAAGTGGAAAAGTTTGGATTCCTGTGAGACTGTTTTTTTTATCTCCTTTCAACACTAGAGTCAAAATACCAAAGCAGCGATCCATGACTTGTTAGTAAAAGGAAAGATAGACAAGCATACCAAATCTGATGTGAAACCACTTCACAGCAAGAAGAAAAGAAAACACTCAAAAGTTTGATTTAGACGCTAAATCGTTAATCAAAATTGCATTGAAGATACAATATTGAAAATCTAATAGCACAAAGTACTAATGCTCTTTTTCTCTATATGCCATGTTTTTGTTAGTTTTCACTTGATCAGGCTTTGAAAATGCTATACTAAGCACTGATAAAAGTAATTAAAAGTACAGGTGTGGCAGTTTGGCATATTTGTAAGTAACAAAATAATTAGAAATACCCCAAATTAAAAGCTGATGTTCAACTCTATTTTTAATGTATAGCGTCCTGTTTGTTTAAAAGAAAATCAGCCACACAGTGTTTTCCATCATCTTGCAGACCACAACTGTTCAAATCGGCTAGCGACTAGTGCCATATTGAACAGCAGCATTGACGTCTGTCTGCTGCAATAAAAATGCAAAGCTTGTTTTCCCTTCTTAAAACTATCGACCCATTGTTTCACGAATTACAAAGCCTTTCTTTCAGGGAAATTGTGTTTTCGATGAAGACGGTCCAAACAGGCTTGTGTGAACACAGTTCCCCTTTGCACATTTGCAGCCGTCTCGTGGGGGTAAAGGTAACTAGACTGTCAGTCACTGGCTTGGCTTGATTAGATGTATAAGCACACCTGTCTGGTGAAAGCATACTGTACTTCTATACTCATGTGTATATATGAATACAAATGGCATATGAGCAGCGGCCCAGGGAGTCCACGAGACTGTGAGTTGACAGCCTGCCTGAATAATGCTAATCATGCTTCGCCATATTGTTTAAACCCTCACAGCATACATAAACATGTTCAGGCCGTACACCAAGAATAAAACACTGAGAATCAGCAGCAATGAAATTCATAGTAAAATAATATAGCTGCAAATCTGGAGTGAGGGTTAAAGGATATTAGAGTGTGATCAGATGTCACAATGGCGACGATGACTGATCACTGGGGTCAGGAAGTTTTGAATGTTTACATCATCTTTTTCTTTTCACTAGTGTGTGTATGTGTGTAAAAACAAAAAAAAATCCCAACACTGCTGGAGTCTTTCTTAAAAGAGGCTCCCTGTCAGAGTGCGTCTCCGCCGCCATGAAACTGAGTGACAGCAGCAGACATGTGGCCATCGGGTAGCAAAACAAATCTCGACAGTTTGGGTTTGGGGAGCGCGAAGATGCTTGTCAAGTGCGTGCATGTCCGTGCGGGAGGATGCATTATACTTGCTAGATTCAACCCGATACTTTGATATTTTAACAAACAAAAAACTTCAGTTTATTCAAACTTGATTCTTCTTTGTATTTCATTTGTTTATTTTTACAATTTTCAGTTAATGTCTCACCAATGAACTTTCTGAAATCTGAGAAATATGCAAGATTTCTATCAAAGACTTTCATCAGGTCATAAAGATGTAGTCGTAAATGTAGTCAACACTTTCATTTATCTTTGCACAGAAATTACTAATTAACTCAAAGTTATCTGTCAGTTTTAGTAGTGTTTACATATTACAATTTGACATTTTTGGGACATGTGCTGATTGACCTTTTGCAGAAACTCAGACTATCCCCAGGATACAAACCAAGGCAGTCCAAAGAAAAAACAGAATATGCCTCTCAGAACTTCTTATGCTCACTTATAAGAATGATGCACTTGGTTTATTATTAAGCAGACAACTGTGCAGCTCCCAGCAAAGGGACTCTCTGCTACATAAGTTCAGTTAAACTTATCTCAGGGACTGCTGGCTATAATTATATTAACAAAGAGGCCTAAGAATAGAACTGACCTTCTAATTTAACTCTACGTAAAGACACTGGTAAGTTAATTTTCCCAAAATGTCAATCAATTGCTTTAACTTGCTGAGTGTAATGTTATTACAGATGGGAATGTAGGCTTATGTTACAAAAATGAAACCCAGAAGTAGATGTATTGACTATATAGTGAGCATTTTATCCCCCAGAATCCTCCTCTTCCAACAGCAAAAGGAGGGAAAATGTCTGACCACAATGTCTCATCACAGGAAATCGCTGGCTTATTAAGGTCTTTCTTTTCCACGTCTTTTCTCCCATTGTCTCCAGGTAAGAGGAATCAATGCGTCGATGAGCAGGAAACGTGAGCAGCGCGTGCTATTCATGGTGGTGATTATGGTGATGTGCTACCTAATATGCTGGCTGCCTTATGGCATCATGGCCCTACTGGCCACCTTCGGCCCACCGGGCCTGGTCACACCGGAGGCGAGCATCATCCCCTCAGTCCTTGCCAAAACGAGCACGGTCATCAACCCAGTCATCTACGTCTTCATGAATAAACAGGTAAGAGGAGGGAGGGCTGAGGCTGTGGTCAGTACCTTTTTCTATTTCGCTGTCAAAAAGTGGCAGCCGGAGGTCTTCCTGCCCACTGAGGCGAATGATTATTTCAAGGTGGATTAAAATAATAGAAATTACTCCTTGTTTTCTATTCCTGTCAGGTGAGTCAGTGGTTTCTTGACACTGAATAAACTAAATTATGTACTTGTGTGTGCATGGTGAATAAGAAGGTCTTTGAATCTACCTTTTTTTCTAACATATTTGACGAACTCTGCCAACTCGGCTTGTTCGTCTAAATAAATAACGTCTAAATAAATAATAGACGTTGTGATGAGCTAATGAAAACCGAGTGCTTACATGTCTGTTTGTCACGTCAGAGGGGGGTATTTGCAGTGTCGTGCAAGTACCCGTTTTATCAGGTGTTCGTCATTAAAATTGTAAAAGATCTCATTTAATCTTGGCCCACGCTCACGTCAGGCAATATGATGAGACCCTTTGGGTGTTAACTGGGAGCAATTATTTGGAGCTTGCTGTCTTGGTCTTATTTGCTTTTATACTTTAATTACTGTTAAGTTGCCCGTGAGAAGAATTAATAAAGCTCACCTCAGGAGCCTACAGTGTGTCATATGACCTTCATAGCTGATTTCATTTTACTGTGTTTTCTATTTGTGCTGCGCTAAAGTTCCAATCGGCTGTAACCTCTTCTATCCCGGCTTACTTTTTGCAAAGCAACAAGTACATAATGCATGGAGACTACCCAACAAAATAACATTTTTAAACAGTCAATACCTGAGCTGGTCTGCTTCAGTGTGATTGTTCTGCTGTGATTTTGTCAACTTTTTGATGCAATATGAAAAATTTTGTTTTGACCAAAACAATAAATAAACTCTCAGCGATCAGTGGTGTGTGAAATTATAGAAAATCACTTAGTTCTAATGGCATCACTCCAAAGAACAAAAGAAAATTGTGAAACATATTCTAACCTAAATGTGTTTGTTTTTATTTTATTTTGTTTTATTTAGGATCCGATTACTGAGAGTAGAAAAACTGGCTGAGAAGCATTCAGGACCGTTACAGTTGTGGTCGCATACAGTACATTTGCCAAATTTAAGTGGAAGCAGGAGAGCAAAACTCATAACTATTCATCTGTCAGGAACTGACAGGAAAACAGAAACTTTTGCCGGCGTCAGCGTGGGCTCTGCTCGTACTTTTTTGACTGGAGGGCCAAAGACATAGGGGGAAAGGATGAAAGATAGAAGACACTGAGGACTGAGAAGAGAATCAAAGATCAGAAATGTTTGTTTTCCGTGTGTCAGTGGCCCAACGTGTCAGAGAATCTCTTCTGATTATAAACTAGCTGTACATATTCAATGATTAAATACTATGGCACACAAAGAAGTTTACATCCAAATAAATAATCAAAGTAAACCTTAAAAGTACTTTCACATTTGTCATGCAGCTGTTGTTGTTTTGTGTTGTTTAATTAAACCCACAGACCAACAGTAAACGCTTATGTTATTGTTGAGTGATGCAGTACTACTTTTTTATTGAGCAGTGTCATCCCGGGCATGACCGAGCTCAGAGCCCAGTGCAATAGTTGAACTGGATCTTAGATTCTTCTTCCTTAAGTGAAACTTTTTGACCAGTAGGAACCAACACTGACACAGTTTACCCCGACGAATGTGACTGGTGGGGATGTTTTTGTCAGCTGATCATTTCTGGGTGCTTGGCTTGGCCTTGTTTGCTGGTGTTTTCTATTGTTTGTGCTAAAATCACACTCAAGTTTTAAATGTTTAATTCATTGGTTGTATAAATGGTTGAGGCATAGAGCTATAGAGACGTTCCAAAGCATCGCGATGGCTCACTTGTTCATAGTGTTGGTTAATCTAAATAACAATTTAGTTTTACCTCATTTTAATAAATTGGACACTGACAGATTAATTTGTGTTGCTCTTGGTAGATTACATGAGTCATTACTGAAATTAGTTGATTCTGATAGAGCTGTTTTAATGTGTACATTAATGGCAGGGTTAGTTCCATAAATAGTTGGACAGAGATAAACTTTTTGTAGTTTTGCCTCTGCATACCAGTACAGGGGGTTTTAAATCAAATAATTAATTACTAGCTATATTTTTAAAAGACTAACATTTTTGTAGTTTTAGAGTTAAACCTGGCAGTCTTCTTACCAAAGAACATTTGGATTGTTTGACAATCCACTGTGGTGGTGTACAGAGGCAAACTACAACAAACTACCAGCTATGGAACAATACTTTCCACAATCACTGGTGCATTTTTGCATTTGTGGTCTCTCCCTAATTTCCCCCGTTAGGTGAGCGGTCATGTCAAAGTAACATCCACACGAATAAATACGCCAGAATGCCTCGTTTTTTTATTCACCTCACATTAGTTATATTTTTACTGTGCTCCTAAAGTTAACTCTAAATTTCAAGTTTACTTTATTCTCCACCTTCCTTATCAGGGTTCTCTCTCAACTCAAGCTCTCTGTGCAAACAATACATTTAAACTCAAGATTTAAGATGTTTTGTTCGTTTCTGAAACATAGTTCATCATCGTGAGCATAAATAGGAGAAGATAAGCGAGACTGTCTCACTGAAGCAGACTGATAAAACTCCTTTTTCTTTCTAATCTTTATCATCTCATTCTGGTCTATTAAGTAAAGCTCAATGAAAAGCATTATGCTATGTAAGGCTTTAGCCCTCTCAGGATATCTATGTGCAGTAGATGCTGAGATGTACTGTACAAAGAATTATATGCAGTGCAGTATATTGGAGAGCCTTTCAAAGTGCAATACTTTTTCTCAGGCTTAAACTTTCCTTACTGGAAAGTTACTGTGTTATTGCCAAGACTTATTTTACTGTGGAGTTGGAAATCTACTGAAAAAGCATACAAACTCAATATGCTGCTGTCATCTGGAGATACTGCATGCTTCTCCTTACATGTTACATCAGATGCTGAGGCCACCGCCACAGCTAACTGACCTTACAGGGACATTTTAGCCGACACGTCATCAACTTCAACTTCCCCTGGGAGGGAGCCAGTGGGAGAGAATGAAACCAAATGTCCTGTATGTCATTTTCAGTCTTCAATTCCTCCCAGCCCATTACTATGGAAACTGTGAGTTGAGGCGAGTTGAAGACTAAAAATGCTGTACAGATACAAGGATCAGCTGGTTTGTCCCGTCAACGATCAGCTCTGCTCACAGCCGAGACCCCCGGGGTGGTTTAAAAAACAGGGATTATGGGTAAGTTTAATCATCTGTTTATTTTTTAATCACTACTTGAAAATAAACTTGTGAATACTCGTGAATACACTGCTTTATATATAGACCAATCCAAAAATATCTGTATATTGTCACAATTGTCACATTTTCAAAACTAAAACCTGAGTATGATTTTATTTGACTGACATAAAAATAAAAACTAGGCATTTTTAAAAAGTGAACTAATGACACCAGACTGTGTACTTGGAAAAATATACTAAAACAAAATAAAGATATACAGGAACTGTCACTTGTGTAGCATCTTGTACATGTTACAGCGCTTTAATGCAAAGAGAAAATACATACATTTTCAATGTTAAACATGAAAAACTGAAAAGATGGTGACTGAAACAACTAATAGATCATTGCAGTCTTTGAAGTCCTTACCTCATCTCTTAATCCAACAATACGTTGTGTAAAGACCTAACCTTGTCATTGTAGACAGGGATTGCATCCATCCATCCATCCACCCATTCGCTTCCGCTTATCCTTTTCAGGGTCACGGGGGGCGCTGGAGCCTATCCCAGCTGTCTGAGGGCAAGAGGCAGGGTACACCCTGGCCAGGTCGGCAGTCTGTCGCAGGGCTAATCATAGACACAAACAACCATTCGCACTCACAATCACTCACTATGGGAAATTTAGAGTTTCCAATTAACCTAACCCCACTAACAGCATGTGTTTGGACTGTGGGAGGAAGCCAGAGTACCCAGAGAGAACCCACACAAACACAGGGAGAACATGCATGTATGTTAGGGTAAATTATATGTGTAATGGTGTTATTGCCTCAGTCCAGCCCCATAAGTACCAAGTCACACTTCTTGATGTTAATTTTAAAACAATCATGAAAGACAACAAGGACCAACTAGGCTCAAAATTCAAAACAACTGCAGAGGTTTGTTTCCTGGTTATGAATATTTTGCTGATCTCCTGGGAAGAATTCATTCAGTGACGCTCTACATCACAAAAAATTGAATTTGCAGGAAATCTAAAATGTTCCCACCTTTTCACCTCAGAGTGAGGATATGACTGATTTACAATATAAAAAAAAAAAAAAAAATACAATATAAACCAAGATCAGCCTCTGCTGAATTGGTGATGTGCCAAAAAAATTTTTTCCCAAATATCATTCTATTCACAAGTTCTTATGTGAATGAATCATTGTTTTTCCAGCTCCAACCCTCTGATTTTTTTAATACAATCTATGGTCTGCATTGTAATTCATAGCACTGGGGAGTTTCCTGGATTAAGTCAAGCAAATGTCAAATGAAGCAGAAGGTATCTGCTGATGGCTATCGAAGAAGCTTCCTGACATTCACTCACCTCATACAAGTCCCTTAAACTACAAGACTGTCTTCTGTAATGTAGAAGAATGACTGACTGCAGTTTAACTCTGAAACTGTGGAGAGAGCACTGCAAATGTTTTGATGTATGTCATACAGAGAATTCAGTTAAAATCTATCTATTTGGGTCTATCCATTTTCTATCTAATCCTCCAATAAGGATGTCATTCAATACAAATGCCACATATTTTTGGAATGTGCTGGACCTTTACAAACACAGACAATAAAGATCTGTCCTTTAGGAAAAAACTACTCTCACGTACAGTCACAGCAAAACTGAATAACATTAAACCCAAGACAAAGTCTGATGTTTTTAAGAGAAAGTTGAGCTCCTCTTCCCATATAATATCCGCTCAGGTCACAGGGTTCATCATCATCCACACCTG